GTGCTGAGGGCTGGGGACAAAAGGCAGAAAACTAGGTGCTCAAAAATGTGGAGGGATGATGGGTGTGGTGGACCATGCCTACAATACCAGCATTAGGGAGGTTGAGGCAGGAGAACTGCTGTCAGTTCAAGGCCACCCTAGGCTACATAGTGAGTTCAAGCAGCCTGAATTGAGGTACATAGTAAGACCCTATCTGAAAAAAAAAAAAAAGACTGAAGGGAGCAGTATCACAGAGTCCTGGAAGATCTGCATTTCAGGGATTGATACCATCAAACTTGCATCCTGCAAGGCATGGCCTAGGGCTGGGCCTGCAGGGGAGGAAGCCCTGTGGGCTCTGCCCTGACAGTGGCCAGGAAGGATCTGAAGGGACCAAGTGCCCACAGACCCCACTCCCAAAGCAAGATAATGTCAGATACTTCAGCAGTCCTTTCCCATCTGAGGATTCCCACCTTCTTTTGCCTTTCAACCGATCTGGAGCAAGAAAATGGGAGCAGAAAAGGCAGGTAGGCCAGTGCCTCCATTCTGCTTTGTAGACTGACAGGTGTCCCCCCCTCTCCGTATTGCCTTCTGCCACCATTTAGTCAAGGGAGGCTCCCTTGGTTTCCCCCTGCCCATTCCAAATGTCCCCAGTCCTCAGGAGCAGCCCTCTGTCCTCCTAGGCTCCCCAGTGCACAGCCCAGAGCCAGGCCTGCTTCCTGCCACCACATTTATGGGGCAAGGCTCACAGAAAAACTACTTCCTTCCTTTCCTCTCGTCACTCCACAAATACTTAGAGAGCCTGATCATGACCTTTGCAATATAACAGAGAAGTCACAAACATTTACTGAGGTCTATTGCATGCCAGGATCTCTAGAGCTCCAGGACACACTGGAGGACGATTGAGTTCGGGACTGGGGCCTTGCTGAGAGATGACCCTGGGGCACAGCCCTGAGGAGATGAGGGTGGAGTGGGCTAGATGGCACTGGGTGAAACATATTCCTCAGAATTATGAAATGTCAGGGTGAGGAGGGGCCCCAGGGTGTAGCCAGGAAGCTGGGCAAGATCTAGAGCTTGGCTTTGGTTACTGTAGAGGCAGCAGCACAGGCCCAGCCTGGCAGGAAAAGACCCCTGGGCCTGGGGGCGGGGCCAGCTTGTTTTTCTCCTCTGGCTGCTGGGAGGCGAGTTGAGGGGGTTGGGACAGGATGGCTCTTGGCCAGTTCACTGTGACTATGCAGTTTCCAGGCCCAAGCAGTGTTGAGGCGCAGGGCTCAGAGGGAAAAGGCCTAGGCCCTGGACCTCTGGCACCATGAAAAGCCCAAGGTGACCCAGGAGCCATGGCTCCTGAATGGACACATGGATGGAGGAGGGTGGGTAGAGTTCTGGCACATTCTCAAGTGGTAGCAGTAAGACTGTCATAGGGCTACCCTTGGGGTAAACTGTGAAACACCACACTTACTTCCCCTCCTTCTTTGCTCCCTCCCTTCTCCTGGGGTTCTTGTGGGAAATCTTGGGGTCCTTCCCTGGGCTTCCCTGGTGCATTGTGTGTTTGAAAACAACAGCTCCTGCCTCACAGGCGCAAGGTCCTGAGTTTGATCCCCAGTACCAAAAAAAAAAAAAAAAACTCTTGGTTTGAAAACAACAGCTGAGCTGGCTTCCAAACAAGATGGCGGGACTGGTCACTGGGGAGCCAGGAGTGTTTATTGTCCATGGTCCTGAGAAAGAGCTTGGAGAAGGGATCTGACCCTGTAATCTGGATGTTGTCTAAGTGGCCCCTCCCTGTCCCTTCCTCTCCCACTCAGAGACCCTGTGCAAGCTGCATGGAAAGAAGCAGGTTTTGAGAGCCGGGGATTTAGCTCAGTGGTTTTGCCGCCTGCTGCGCAAGTGCAAGGACCCGAGTTCAATCCCCAGTACCCCCCCCCCCAAAAAAAGCAGGTTGTGGCCACTGCCTAGGGAGGGGTATTGCACTCAGGGACCCAAAACTCTGTTTACTGCAGTGTTCCAGTGTTCTGGAACAGCTTGTTTTGATCTACAGAAATTTGCAGACACACTCACCTTCCTGCCCTTGTCTTCCACCAGGGCCGAAGTATTTTTAGCCTTATTTGTAGAGGAAGAAAGTAGAACCCAGGCCCAGGGTGTATCCACAGCCCTGGCTCCCTAAAGCAGGACAGGGTCTGTGTGATTTCCTTTTCTTTCATTTGTTCTTTTTTAAAAATTCAATGCTGACTATATTTCAAAGTTGTCATGAAAGTTTTCAATTAGCAATAATCACACCTCAGATAAACCTCATTGAGTATGTTACTGCCACTGGGCAAAGCTTGTGTGGTTTTCTTACCTCTTCTCAAATACACTCCTTTTCCGAAGAAAAACAGCTGTGTGGAACTTGGAGACCAGGAGAGTTTTCAAACACAGTCTCCTTGAAAGGGTTCCGTTTTGTCCTTGAAGAGGATGACTTTGTTCTTGAAGACTGAGGTGGTGGCCAGGGCAGCTCCAGACCTGAGTGCACAAAGGAGCCTTATTTCTGTGTGATGGAGTTGTCTATTTATCGAATAATCCTATGCTTTGTGTGTTGCCAGCTATCCTTACTCCTACTTTTAAAAACAAAACAAAACAAAACAAAAAACAGGGTCTCACTGTATTTTAGGCCCACTTTAAATTAACTATGTTGTGGGCCGGGAATTTAGCTCAGTGGTTCTGCTGCCTGCCTTTCAAGCACAAGGTCCCGAGTTTGATCCCTGGTACCAAAAGAGGAAAAAAAATGTGAATTTCACTATTCACAGGCTGGCTTCCTGCCTCAGCCTCCAAAGTGCTAGGACTACAGATGTGAGCCACTACATCCAGCTCCTACTCCCATTCTTTTTGAAAAATAAAATCTTAAATAATTTCTGGGATTTGGGAATGGCATATGAATGAAGGAAATTTAGAGACGAGAGATGAAAGCAAGACAAAACATCAATTTGGGCCCTGGAAGCAGAACAGTAGTTACCTCCCAGACAGCCTGTCCGATAAATAAAGGGCTGACTCCTCAGCCTGGTATTGTGAAGCGGCTGGAGGCTTTGGTTTCATGAACATTTTTTTTTTTTTTTTTTGACCGGGGATCGAACTTGGGACCTTGAGCTTGAGAAGCAGGCCGTGGAATCACTGAGCTAAATCCCTGTCCCTTCATGAACATTCTTGACAATTCCCTTTTTCCTCACTGTTCTTTCGGGCCAAATCACCCACCCTTGGAAATGTTGCCGGAACAAGACTGGCAGGGCAGATCTTGGAGAAGAGCAAGCTGTGTGGCCGAAGAGCTTGGCTGAGTCACAAGTGAAGAAGCTTGGGCTTGCCACATACTCGACCCGTCCTGACAGTCACAGAAGTGTCACCAGTTTTCCTTGTGGCCTGGGCCCTGCCCTGCCTGCAGATGCCATCTTTCAGAGGCAAGAGGAAAATATTTTCCCAGTTTCCTTGTTGTTGTCAGGAGAGCCTGTTGCCACAGGGTGGTTCTGTTTGTGTTGTTGTGGGTGGTTACCCTGGGAGGACTCTTCCTGGCAGGCCTGCTGTCAGATGCCATTCTCATTCTGGCTACTTGGACTGTCCCTCCACCTTCTACCTCGTGGCCACTGCCAATCAATTGACCCTCATGAGCATCTAAGGCTCTGGTTCTCCTGAACCTTGGCCCTGCAGTGGTCTAGGAGGTGCCAGCTGTCCTTTTCCTTTTCAAAATCCTTACTAAACACTCAGGCCTGCCTATAACCCCTGCAGCTGGGAGGCTGAAGCAGAGGGATAGCTTGAGTTTAAGGCTAACCTGAGTAGCACGACCCTGTCTCAAAAGCAAACAAAAAAAAAAAAAAGAAAGAAAGGAAAAGACACACTCAGGCCCTGCCTGGCCTTGTTAAAGTAAGTGAATTCACCACGTTTGCTTTAGGCCAGGTTGGGGGCTACCCTGACCCAGTGCCTCTAGCAGTCACTAAACCCACCCTGAGGCATATCACAGGCCACAAACTGCCTGGGACAAATGTAGCTTTTTTTTTTTTTTTTTTAATTACTTTTCTCCCTATCCCTCACCCAAAAGTAAAATGAGTTGAAAACCCAACCCATCTGGTCCTACAGTCCTGTAATTACATGTATTATTTTCCACACAAAACGTTGCTTTTATTTTACTTTGCAACTGCCTTTTCCCAGTTAATACACCGCGCCTCCCAGTTCGTTAAGTATTCCACCCCAGCAGAAGGGTTATCTGCAGCAACTACTTCAACTTTTCAGGTCCCTGCTAAAAGAATGACAAAACCAGGATACCCGTCCTCTGACACCAGGTTCCGTCTCCTCTTAATATTTTCACCGGGCCATTTATTAAGTAACAAAGCAGAAATCTGCCTGCATGTGAAAGCAGAGTCTGGGGAGCGTAACATTCGGATTCCCCCGAAAAGGCCGCAGCCAGCCCTGCCCCCACCCCGCGCCCTCGGGTGTTGACGTCACCCGCAGAGCACGAGGCGTTGCCGCCTGAGGAGTCACGCGCTTCGCCCCACCCGCTCGCGGCAGTGATCCCCCTCCGCAGAGATTCTTCCGCCGCCGCATGGAATTTTCCAGATGCTCTGCCGGCCCTTCTTTCGGGCCTCTGCGGGCGGGCAACCTGAGGTGACCCTGGCACCCTCCCCCGCTCTGGTGAATTCTCAGGAACGCGGCTCCAACTCGGCCTCCATCCGCCCACCCAGCCCCTCTCTTCCGGAACTATGTCCCCACCGCACACAGACACACTACAGAAAAACGAGACTGCTTCCTCATGTACCCCACCCCCACCCCCGCCTCTCACAAATGTGACCTCGCCTCAATCCCATAAAGCACTGCTGGGGGAAGGGATAGTTGGAGAATCTGAGGGAGTGGCCATCAAGGGAAACCTTGAACCGCCCTAGTTGGCTCCTCCGGCCGGGTCGGAAGGGACTTTTTTTCTCTCGGTGACAGTGGAGGAATCGTCCCGTTGAGCCATCCCCCTGTGATGCGACCCAGGGCTATAAAAGCAAAAGTTGTGACCAGTACAGCAGGAGTTAGAGATAGGGAGGGCCGGCCCCTGGCTTTAGGGGTGGGGAGGAAGTGGGCAGTTGAGGGACTCAGGGGAGGCAGGCGGGAGGAGACAAGCTAGATAGGCCCAGTAGGGTGGGATTGCCAGGAGAAGGGGGCCTAAGAGAGGGGACTAGATACTGGGAGGACTGCTGCTGGGAAGGCGGCACTGAAAATGCCCAGAGCAACCCATGGGGAGGGCAGCATTACTCCAGTCCAGGCTGTCCCTGCTGCCTGTTGGACACGGGGACTTGATCTCCAGGAGGAGGCTCTTTCGTGGGCCGAGCTGACCCTAGTCTCCTGGGTTTATGTACAGAAAGGAAAGGCTGAGGTGGGAAGATGGAGAGGAGATAGAGACAGGTGGAATTGGTTGGTTGATACCGTTGTAGTGATCGTGGAAGGCAGGGAGTGAGTTCGGGGAGGGCCGACTTTGAACTTGTCAGTACCGGCAGCTCCCCTTTTTTTTCCAGACAAAGGGGTGTGAACCTACCTGGGGATGAGGCCTGGTCTTGTGGAAACTGGACTTAGCTTCGCGGGGCAGACAGCTCTGGCCCAGGGTGGTAGGTAATGTGGATTCAGCCTGGTGGAGCCCAGGTCTGGGTGTGAGGTAAGGCCTCAGTTGGAAGAGAGGGGAGGCCTGAGGAGCGACTACAGAGGCAAGGAGCCATCCTCACTTGTGGCTAGTGTGGCACCTGTTTGGCAGGGTGGGGCTGCTGAGGCAGGATGCTTGTGTCTGAGGGCAACATTGACGGACCTTTATTTTCCAGGTTATAGTGGCCTCCACTGGACTTTCCCTAGGTTCCATGCTAATCTCTTCTGTGAGCTCACTCTACCCCTCCTCCTCCTCCCTCTTAACTCTGAGGTTGTCCCTTCACTTAAACCTGACGTCTGGTGGTAAGCCTGGGGAACTCGCTGGATGTGCTGTTGGAGTCGGTACCTTTGGTAATGGTGGAAGAGAAAAGGCCCACTCCCGCTGAGACTCCCGGTTGGTGGGGTGGGTTGGTGCTGTTTTTGGAGAGGGTGGGGATTGAAGGTGCACCTTTGGGTGGGCCCACAGTGATGGTTTAATTTGAAAGTCACATGCCTCATGGACGTGGTTTGTTACTGTAGTGTTCATCATGGCGAGCAGATGGCACCAGGAGAAATGGAGCCCCTGCCAGTGTGAGTCGTAGCAGTACAGGAGGGGAGACCTTGAAGGAGACAGCCTGATTAAATTGAAGCCGGCAGATTGAATTCCAGAGGCTTGGGAGCAGTTCTCCAGTGCCATCTGTCCAGGCCTCGTTCGGGAAGTCCTGTATTCAGGAGGCCGCCATTAAAGTTTTCAGATGAGCTTATGCGGGGGGGGGAGTCCAAAAATCCAAAGCAGATGCATCCAGCTTGAGGGGCCATCAGCTTTGAATAAAAGTCTGTTCCAGGAGCACCGTCCTCAGGGCACGTGAATGCCAGGCACCCCTTGTTTCCTGGGGATAGGTTTTCAGATGCTGCAACTTCTAAATTGAGCCTCAAATCATTCTAGTTCTGTGCTACGAACCTTGCTTCAAGAAGATTAAGCTGTAGAACGTTTTAACGATGCCACAACGAAGAGTGATGCCTTGTAGATGGCGCTTGCAGATGGAGCCCAGTGACTTCTCACCTACCCTCCTCCTTGCCTCCCTGCTTGTACGCTGGCCAGAGGAATTCTTAGCGTGATGATAAAACTCTTGGGTGTTGGGGGGAAGCTGTTCGATTTTAAATGTCCTAGTGGGTGTATGTAAGATGAGGCAAATTGGTGGCGGCGGGGTGTGTGTGTAAGTGTTGTGCTGAAGTTTGGGCTGGTACAAGCTGATCACGAGCCCAAGTGCTGGGTATTTATTGCAAGTGGTGTTATCTAGTTTGGACATTCTGATGGCATCGCAGATCCCTGGGAAGGGAATGGATGGTGGGTGTACCGATAGTATTGTGTACTGGCAATGGTACTTAACTGATGCTTACGAAGCAAGTTCTGCCACTGAGCTATGCTCCCAGTCCAGATCTTTGATTCTTCTTACTCCATTTATTTAAACTTGATTTTTACATGGCGTTCCATCGGGGAGGGGGAGTTTCTGAGGTGGGGATGGATGGGAAAGAAAACTGAGAGGGAAAAGGGTGGGGGATACAGCACAGAGGGTGAGAGGTTGGGAATGTGGCTTGAAGGAGTTGAGAGTGTGGGTGGGACAATTTAATAGAACTTCTGAGCGAAGAAAATAGTTAATGATAAATTGTTAATGCTGGTTAAATTGTTGCTTAGATGCGATAAATATTGCTTAGAAACTGTAAAAGTGCTTAGAACTTGAAGATCAAGGAAAAAAGCAAAATTGTTTTGCTTTGCTGAAAAGTGAAGAGAATTGAAAAGGTTACTAAAATCCTGAATATTTAGTCATTTGAAAAATGGTGTCAAACTTACAGCCAGGTGTTTTATCTGAAGCTGTAGAGGTGTGTGATTTTTTTTTTTTTTCAAGAGTAATTTAGGAAAAACTTCTAAATGCCTAAATTGTGGGCTTTTAAAGCTTAAGTGTGCCCCTGAGAATAAATGGGTTCTTCTGGGCTTATAATTCATATTTAGTCACTGAGATCATTTATGATTGAAAATTCTGAGCATAGTGCAAATGTGATGCCTTCTAAAGAGATTTCATGTATAAGTTGTGTTATAAAACATACGTCTGTGATAGGTCAGTAATTATAACAGCAAAACTATTGCTTGCTTAGTATTATCTTTTCCAGTCCGAGGAACCAATTACCTTTATGGTCACTGAAATGACTGTGGTATTTGGTAGCAAACAATCCATATATCTTGGCCAGGGTTACACTGAATAATATATTGCATCTTTAGTTTGAATCTGCTATTTAAGTGATCCAGGACTAGAGGGGAAACTCAAAATCCTTTGGGGAAAAAGTAAAACTGAGTAGGGCATACCTTACTAGATATGGTCTGTAAAAATTTAGAGACTGAAAAGCATATTTGTTTTTGACCTGCTTCTGTTTAGTTGGTACAGTAGTATCAGTGGATTTTAAATGTCTCTTTAATTTCACCTTTATAAATTTAAACCCTCAATACCTTTATGCTTGACATTTTTCTGTTTTGGGGTTCCTTTTTTAAAATGCATAATATGTTGGTGTGGTAGTTTAGTTCCTAACGAGTGACTTGGGTCACTATCAGAACTTAATGCATATTAGTCATGCTTGTATGGGGATATATTTTCGGGTATACTGTTGTGAAATGGAAACTGTAAAAGCAAGTGGTTAAAAGTACTTGTTTATTGCTCTGTAAGGTAAGGACTTTTGTTGCATCATGTATGTAATTACTAATTTTTCTTCCACTTCACAGCATAAATAAAGGTTTGAGTTCTAAGCTTCTTAGAATCCTTGTATTGCTGTTACATTTCTCAATCCCTGTCATGATGTGCTCACAATGAAGGTGATTATGTCTTCACTGTTCACTAGTTCCAAGTAATTGAGGCCATTGATACAGCCAGGAAACTTTACTAAAATAGACCCAATAATGTCCTGAATGGTCTGCAAACTGGTGGGCAATGAGGTGGACCCTGTGTACTGGTGGGAATTGGTAATGTTTCTGTAAAATGTGATGCTTAACCGTATGGTCAAAGAAGATGAGTGTGTAGGTGGGGAAGTACTTTGTCCATATAATATGCTAGAACATTCCCTGAGTATTTCCAAATGGTACTTTTTAATAAATTATTTGGGGAGAACAGTTTAAATAATAGGGTGGACATGTAACTAAGCATGTTTCATATTTCCAGTCTTTGGGATTTGGTTCTAAGCACATAATTCTGAGCTTCCATTTTTCTTTTGGTGCGTGGTTAAAAAGTTTGGGGTTCTTTGTGCAAGTGCTATATTAAGCAAGGAAAGTGCCAGAGTGTGGGTGGAAGCACTTGGAATCCAGTGTGCGTCATGCATGGAAACTGATTGTGTCCTGGGTGGGGAAGGGCGGCAGTGATTCATCCTGGGAGCTGATCAGGACTTGGAGTTCTACAGGTCTTCTGTGTTATTGGCAACTGTACTGTGTTGCTTTACAATAAACAAGTTTGGGCTTGGATTAGAAACACTGCCAGCCCCTGCTAAGAAGGAAGGTGCTTATTTGCAAAAGAGCAGGGCGGAAGTCGTTAGGCAGTAGGCAGTCTGCAGGGCTTGGTTACTTGGGACAGGGAGATGAGTCCTGAACTAAACAGGCAAGGTGGGGACAAACCAAGAGCAAGGAGTGTGGCCTGAAATCTTGTGGTTGACAGCTGGAGACTTGGCTGCAGTCCTAGCTCCTTGAGTATGACTTGTCTGCTGCTTTGGTCATCCCTTGGTGAACCCCTAACTTGTATACTACCATTTGTGAAATGCTTGGAGAAAGGAAGGGAGCATGCCGCCCAGCAAACCTGCTGTCAGCACAAAAGTGAACATTGCCAGGTGTGGATGCAAGGAGCTCCTCCCTGCTTGTCACCTCTTCCCTCAGTCCCCAGAAACAGTTTGACTCTCCTTTCCTGCCTTAGCTTCTTGTTTCTTACTCCTGCATCCTGACACCCTCTTGTCAGAGCTTCTTCTCTTCTCCTTTATGCAATGATTATGAAACTTGGTTCTAACCCAGAGGACAGCTCTAAGTGCTCTCTATCGAAGTGCTTCTCTGTAAGTATCACTGTTGCCCAGCAACTGTGGCAGGCTAAAAACCTGCAGGGTAAATGTCAAGTATTGGAAATAGTTGTGGAATGGGGCTAGTGGAGATGAGGCTGCCGCTAAAGGCTGAGCTCACTGCTTTCCATGAGGGTAAAGGACTTCAGGGTGTGGTGGGGGTATGTGTGTTTCTGGGGATTGAACTTGGGGTGCTCTACTACTAAACTACTGAGTTTTTAATTTTTATTTTATTTTTTGTGATACTGGGGATTAAACAGGCCCTTCACACTGAGCTACATCCTCAGCCTTTTTCTATTTTTTTTTAAATCTTGAGGCAAAGTCTTGTTAAATTGTCCAGGCTGGAGTGGGACTTGGAAACCCCCTGCTTCAGCCTCCCAAGTACTTGGGATTATAGGCCTGTGCTATGAAGCCCACCTAGACTGGATCTTTACCTGGTTATCTTTGGATCTGTGGGATGGGCCTTGATGTTGATGGTAGTGTTGGCAATTCCAATCATCAGTTTCCATACTCAGGCATAGGTCTGAATTCAGTTTTTCTCCCAACTTTCTAGAGGGGATGATCCATTAGAATTCAGTGAGTGGCCTTATGGTAATTTTGTGCAAATTAAAAATAATGGGGCATAAGAATATTAAATGTTGAATTTGAAGTCCTTTTAAAAACAAAAATCACCTCAGAACAGATACTGAGACTCCTCTGTGTGCCCAGGTTGGAGACACAGAACTGCAGAAGTGTCCTATGTATAAAAAGGGGACTGACAACAACTATCCCTCAATGCCACCTGTTGGTTTCTGACCAGTAAGGGACTTCAAGGACTTTTAGTGCCAGGAAACCTCTCTGTGTATAATTAAATCCCTGGAGAACATCTTAACCTCTGGCCCTGAGTGGTACTCATTGTGGCGTGGGGCTGGTAGTGAAAGAAAAAAGTCAAAACAGGCCGGCTATTATGGTATGTCTTATAATTTCATATTTAACATGGAAAATACACAGATGCAGACTTGGAGTGGCAAGGGGAAGATAGAAAAATAATAAGTAAAAAATAAGAATGTAATTGTAAGTATTCCAAGGAGTGTGGCCTTGAACCTTCCTGTGGGTAAGGAAGGGTATTCCCTGCAACTCTTGTCTGATGGTTAGGATGGCTGTCACCTGCTTGACCCTGCAGCCTCCAGCCCTCTGCCCTGCACTACCTTCTCTCAAGTAATTCAGTAAGTTCCCATGTATGGAAAAGGTCTATGGTAAAGCTCGCGAAAAGAAAATTGAAAATTCTCAATAATTTTTCACTAACAAATGTACTGGCATATCTGCTTCTGGAGGTTTTCCCCCCTATGCATCAGATATACACATTTTGATACAAAAATGAGATTATACCTAAATTATATTTTGCATGTCTTGCCTTAATATATAGTGGAACACCTTGTCTTATCAATTAAAGCATTGTTTTTAGTGCTGATGTAATATAGTTATAAAGTTGTATCAAAATTTCATTTAGATAGATGAGTTTTTAGCTCTCTAGGAGATGTTTTGACATCTTTACCACATCTGTTGTTATGTCTGAGATATACATATACTTCTAGAAGAAAACGACTATGTCAAACTTCTTAACACTTTAGGTTCATATTACTAAGTTGCCCTCCAAGGAAGAATTTCCTAAATTAAGCGTTCTCATTAATGAGGAAAGTGAACTCTTCTCCTTTTGCTCAGAATGGGTATTATGATATAAAAGCCTTTGCTATTTGAATGGTCAGACCTACTTTATCAGTGAGTGTGAGTGTTCTTTGCCTATGGTGAAATCTTGTCTGTTGACTGGCCATTTGCAGTGTGTGTGACTTTCTACTCATTGCTTATATTCTGTTGGTAGTTTAATGAAAGCAATTTACATATTAAGGATATTAATAATCCTTTGTTATGTTTGATGTAAATATTTTTCTAGTTTGTATATTGTCTTTTAATTTTCCTTATAGTTCAGATATTCAAAAGTTATACATAAGATTTTCTGAGGTTAATCAAACCACTGTGGTTTCTACATTTGGTGTTATGCGTAGATCCCTTATCAACCTCAAGTTTATGAATAGTAGTCTGTATTTTCATGTGGCACTTGTGTGGTTTCATTTTTCACATTTAACCTGGACTCCCAAGTGGAGTTAATTATGGAATACTTACGTGTGGGTGGCAGGTCCCCAGATCTTCCTTCTGTGGCCAGAAGGGATGATAGAATAGCAAAGTGCTTTGTCAATGTAGTGGCTGTTGTCACAGTGGAACAGTTCACCAGAGAAAACCTCAGGTGCAGGCTAATGGGATCTCCCCAGTGAAATCCTGGTTTGTGGTTCCTCTTTGATTCCCCAGCCCCCATGTTAACTGGCTTGGGCCTGTCACAGTGGATCTGAATTCCATTCCCGACTCTACCATTTGGCATCTTTGTGACTGGGAGCAAATTATATATGGTCACCTGGACCACTTTCCTCAGTTGTGAAGTGGAAAATGAATGCATGTTTTTGACGCATGGTATTCAGTACGGAGCACTTACTATGATTTCTCCCCCTTTGCCCTACTTGCTGTCCTCTGTTACTGACCGGTATTAGGCTCCGCCATTTCCTCTTGCTTCCCCTCCCATTCTGTAGCTGCCCTGTTCTGGCCTTTTATGCAGTGGGAATTAGTATTTATATTCTAGTCTGTTCTGTTTTAAACTTTAATTTTGTGTCCATTAACCATCCCTATATCAGCAAAATCCACAAACACCTTTGGAGAGTTTTTCTTAGGCTTGTTAATCCTTGTACAGAATCCCTTGGATGGGGCCCGGAAGTCTGAATGACCTGAAGCTGAATGCACACATTTTTTCTGTGACAATGCACAACCTGCACTGGTTGGTCAGAGAGGTCAAGGACCTCAACATAAACAAATCATTGCTTCATTTTACCTTGTTGTGCTTATCTCTTCAGTTGATAAACAGAACTGTTTTAAACTGGGCTACTACATGGATCTTCATGAACTTGGTGTACTTGTATATTCTCCACAGGGGTGTTGCCTGGCCAGTGAGCATGTGTGGCTTTATAACTCTTCTCCCATTTGTGAGTTTATAGTTTCCTTCTGTAGTTGCCATCATCAGTTTGTTTCAATTTTATTTATTGCTACTTTAAATTTTTTGCGGTAAAATACTCAAAGTTTACTATTTTCGCTTTAAGTGTACTGTTCAGGAGTATTAAGTATATTTGTGTTGTGCAACCAATCTCCAGAACTTTCTCATCTTGTAAAAACTGGAACTCTGTATCAATAAAACAACATTAAACTCACCATTCTACCCCCAACCCCACTTCACCTCTCCTCCCAAGCCCTGGCAACCACTGCTCTTTGTACTTCCTGTTTCTGAGTTTGACTATTCTAGATAATTGAAATCACGGGGTATTTGTATTTTGTGATTGGATTATTTCACTTAGTACACTGTTCTCAAAGGTCATCTAGGTTACAGGATGTGTCAGAATTTCCTTCCTTTTCAAGAGCTGAAGACAGTCCACTTGTGTATGTGTCACATTTGTCTATCTGTTCCTCCTTTGATGAATACCAGAGTTGCCTCCACCTTTTGGCTATTATAAGTAATGCCACTTTGGACATACACATACATACAAATACTTTTTCAAGACCCTGTGTTTTATTCTTTTAGATGATGGATATGAAATAATAGTGCATTGTGGTTTTGGTTTGGATTTTGTTAATGATTAGTATTGTTGAGCATT